ACGTCCCTACTTATTATCATCAATGTTGTTACTATTTTTTGATATTAAAATATTATATTATTAGTTCTAAACACGACTATACGGGTATAGATAATAAGATTGCGAAACGGCCTAACGAAWAATAAAAAGTTTTCTTATACATAGGTATAAATATAAAAATCATAATAATTATTTCATTTTTAAACACAAGTCTTAGGAGGAATGCGTTATTCTAGACAAAATAAGTAGAGGGATGTCATCCCTCCGTATAACCCTCCCCCCCATTTCRACCACTGACCATAAAGTAATTTATTTTACTATTATAGACATGATTAGTACCTACATTAGGTTGCATAATTTTTGCAAAGAAATTGTATCTGAAAATGTCATTGTGTGTTTTATGTTGTGTATATACAATAAAATAATTAAWAATACATATATTTAAGTATAATTTATATTTAATACCTACTTAAATAGCTTAAAAGTTTCAAGTTACCTACGTAAGTTCGTAGGTAAATAATTATTTTTTAGCGTTACCAATAACGTAAACGGAGCGGTAAATAACAAAGCTCGGCTTAGTTCCTTTGGTCTGGCAACTAAAATATGATGTGGCTCTAGACTTATGTGTGTTGTATAGTTAACTAATAATTGGTTTGCTTCTTTTACGGCAAATGCAGCTGCTGCAATGAACACCTAATTCAGGAAAATAAGCAATCATTAATCATTACACTTATATACATACATTATATTAAAAAATCTATAATCTATCTATATAATTAATAGGCATGTAAATCAGTGACATAGGGAGGAGCCCCCCTGGGCCAGGACCCAAAGTTCAATTATATGTTCAATTAAAATAGGTATTGCACGAATATTGCTTTATGTAATACTAAATATGGATATGGCCCGTTCGTAATTTTCATGCCATTCCTAAGATTTTGTTTTTTTTGATAGTCTATAATATACATCATTATATTTAGATTTTAAATTGTACAAATCAGTCCCGGTTTGCACTTCACACGATGCATACGTTTATATTTTAACTGATGTAAATACATATTTAAGACAGGTATCATTGTATAAGCAATTAAAAATAGATAATATCGTGGCATTTTCTGAATAAAATCATAATTTGATTTTAATAATAATTGTAGGTGCAGTAAATTTGGTCACAACTTGCAGATATAGTTTGAACTTAAGGATACGACACATAATACTACTATACTATCATACTTATATATTACTTATATATATATATATATAAATTAAATTATGAAACGATAATCAAAACAAACATTTCACAGTTGACAGTGTATTAAAAATCCAAATATTCCATAAAACAATAAGATACCACCCATATATTATTGTTATAGATAGATTTAGCCTACATATATAGGCAGGTACTCTGCTGGTACTCGTAATCTCTAAAATAGCTATTTTCTATACGAATAATGCGTAATASGTTAGGGTAAAAAAAAATAACTACAAGATATATACGCTMAATTTTCTAAGAATTAACAAATACATTTAATAATGCATTSGACAATCAATTCTTATTTGAAACTTACTCTTTCGGATCGWACAAGGTCTATCATTTTATCCCATAATGGTTTTGAGACTACTGCGTCATGTTCACCCARTGCATTCTATAAYATTTATTATTTAATTATAGTACTGATAGTAGTTATTAAAAATAAATAAMTAAGATGATTACCTATATAATATTAACTTACATTTTGTAAATAAGTTCTCGTAGTATTCATTTGGTCCGTATTAGGTATGACAATGACATTATAGCTACAAAATATTTATTTAAAAAATCTAATTGTTGAAAAATATTATAATAATTCATAATAGTYGTCAACATTATTWTTTTTGATATGTAAGGTAGACAATAAACAATGTTTTYTTTTTATATATTTTTTTTTCTAAGTTGTATATTATAATATAGGTATAGTAAACAATAGAATTATACAATAATATAGCTTAATGAAATACATTTTTTTACCCCTTTCGTTAATTTACAGAAAATAGATTTACTAATATTTAAGACTTATACTTACRTAAAATTTAATGTTTTTGCCAATTGATTGATAATATCGAAAACTAAACCACTATAACCAACCAAATGACCACTCTTATTGAAATTTACGATTTGCCAAGGTGGAAACTGTAATGAGCGTTAAAAGTCTTTAAGAATTTAATAATAGATAAATATTTGCACCTAAATTAATATGAAAATAGAATAGATACATTATTAATGCCGAGTTGCGTAAAAAAGTTTATTGATTGACTATTTATTGATTCACTAAAGTTGAATTGACCAATCATGAGCTTCTTACTCRAGCTTATAGCTCATTTTATTGATCCATTAAATATGTTTAGTGAATTTTTCAACTCAGTAATATTAGCTACAATATATTATGTTTATGTACCAACCTATATCAATCAATTGAATCAAATAACAAATAAGAATTTACTTTTATATCATTAATTATTCATATTATGGCACTACCTAATACCTATTATATATTTATTATGTACCAGCGACTGTATGAGTATAAACAATAAACATTATATGAATACTTGACATTTTATAAATTATGATATAATTGCGTTTTCTGAAATAATATAAGTAATAGGCATAGCAATATARCATTGATTATAAATGTCTTTTTTTTATATATATTATTTATAATCAATGTGAATAATGAATATTATAGAGTATAGCTACCATAGGTACCTATAGGCTATAATTTTATGTGAGTACTTATATCAAATAACAATATGTAATAATCTACCAACTTATTTTTTTATATGTAAAAGTAAGTCAATATATGTATCACAATATTATTAATATAACTTATATTTATATTTATATATTGAAAAACTTATACATRGCATAGCCACAAATAGGAGAGGGCTTTAGGAGCTACGTCCGCCCAAAAATTCGATTAGCCCCTTCAAATATTTCCTAATTTTTTTTTATCTTATCCTATATCATTATACTAGGGTTTCAGTCYCTCCGAATCGCAAACTCTGTTTGGGCTTATTACATAATATATAGTCCAGACGGCCATAGGTATATATTTCAATTAATGGACAATATACAACATTTTATAATTCTGAGCTAGGTATGTAGTGATGTATTGTGATAGCTGTGTTACCTCATACATAGTAATAGATTAGTGGCTATTCGATATTGAACAATTTGAGAATTATAATCTTATTTTTAGTAGTATARGTAGTATAAATTCGATTTCTACTTACATTAAATGTAGCRATAGGTAATGCCATTCTTCTAAAACCATTTGCCAAATGCATGAAAAGTGGTTCAGTTAGCTTTAAACCAGTTTTTGTATTCCAATAACCCACCGGAAGAATGTAACATCCTTGACCAAAATGYTCTTGACCCCAAGTAACGCCAGAATCAATTTGCCACAATGAGCATGTTTCGCATACACCTGATTCGTTCAAACGAAACTGTCAACAATAACATATAAATAATAATAATAATAATATGTTTAAAAGTTTTTATTTTTAAATCTGTCACATGTATTTATATTATAAGATTAATATAGTTAGAACTTATTTTATTTCATACATTTATTTTTTCAAAAAACTAAAACCATATAGKTAAGGTAAGTATTTTATATGTTGTAACTTTTATAGGTATATATAAAAATTAAATACGTAACTATCTAYTATTGTTCCTAAACAAATTAGGGAAGAGTGCATACAATATAGTAGGTAGTTAKTAGATAATTATGACTATGTAATTATCGACCAATGACCAATAACATTCACGTCTAGTTTATCATTGTTACAATAGCTGCCTACTGCTATCAATTATTATTTCTAATTATAATTTTGAAAGCCGAGTGTCACTGCTGGGTAACTATTCCTATCAAGTATTCACTGCCAATATATTATCTTTTTCTCTCATATGCTTATTGTAATTATGTTTACAGATTGTATATTTTCTAATAAATATTTAGAAAAAAAAAATTATAATTTAAAAAGAAAGTCTTTTTTAATAAAAAGAAAAAAATATCTTACTAAATGCAAGGCAWTTAARGACGTATCGAAAGTTCTATAAATTGTATGTATAGTGTTAAAAAAGTTGAGAAACGCTTATTGTATATTCAATATTCTTAAGAATAACAGGGTAGGTAACTTAAAAAAATAATTATTACCCTTTCAACTAGACCATAGGCCTCATTGTCCAGACCTCATTCGCAGGTTATGCACAACAGTGGCGTATG